TGTTTAACTTTTTATCATTTTGTTAAAAAAATATTTTCTAAATCATGGGTGTCTAATCTTATACGGAAAGGGCGAAGTGTGGGAGCAGGTTTTCATTCCAACCAAGCAGAAGCCACACCTGAGTCTATTGAAAGCCAAGATCAACTGATTAAATCAGGTGGAATCAGGTGTGGCTCCTGCTCGGTTGGAATGAAAACCTGCAACCACGCCGGCCCTTTGCCAAGATAACAGCTTTAATGCCTGATGAGGTTGGAGAATACATGGGAAGGGATCTGAGACCATTCCTTCACACAGAATCTCTCCAGATCCTTCACATTTCGAGGTCCATGCTGGTGGACTCTCCTCTTCGGTTTCGGTTTCATGTCAGGGGACTGGGATGGCCATGGCAGGACCTTGATCTTGTGGTCAGTAAACCATTTTTGTGTTGATTTTGAAGAATCATTGTCCTGCTGGAAGATCCAACCACGGCCCATTTTAAACTTTCTGGCAGAGACAGTCAGGTTTTCATTTAATAGCTGTTGATATTGGCTTCTATGATGCCATGTATCCTAAAAAAATGTCCAGGTCCTCTGGCAGAAAAATCACCCCAAAACATTAAAGAGCCACCACCATATTTAACCTAACTATATCGTACGTAGAACCCGATCCCATTTGAATTCCAGTAGTGTCTGGCAAACTGAAGACACTTGAGTTTGTTTTTGAATGAGGCTTTTTTCTTGAAACCCTTCCAAAGAACTTGTGGTGATGTAGGTGGTCGCTGGTTCACCGGTTGTCCTTCCTTGGACCACTTTTGGTAGGTACAGTGAACCTGTACCCAGGATTCATATGAAAATTGTGATGAGATATTTTGACTATATTGACTCACCGCTGACCTCATTATGTGTTCTTGATGTTTCTCCCTAGTCCTAATTGAGACACTGAGCATTTTCACCTCCAAGTATTCTGTTTCAAAGGTCTGCAGGCATCTGCTGGAGGACGGTGACATTTTTAAAGCTACGAATATTGCATGACAAAGACAGTATTTTGTTTTCCACCCGACATAGCGCTGTTAGCTTGGCCTCACGATCTAATGTGATCTACGCAGAGATCAAAGCATCCGCTCAAACCACAAATAACGACATGCAGAGCGGACAATCGGTCGACCTGGCGGTGAGACTGAGGAAGAAATGACGGAAATGGATGCGTGTGCACGCCCCCCAGGCTGCCCAACCACCAGGCTTAACAAGGCTAATTACACAGCTTGAGGAGCAGCCAAGGAGACATGACTAAGTGTATACACTTGAACGATTGTCCGATTGGTCATCAATCTGGCCCCGCCTCCTGTAGATGAGGCAGCTAATAGGAGGAGAGTGGTTTTTTTTTTTTAGTGACTACACAGACAGAGATAGATGGAGCCAGGCACCATGCTGACTGCTGCTGGCACAGAGAGAGAAGCCCTGTGTATGACCTTGGACGCTCAGGTGTCCATAGCCTGAGAGGCAGGATAAAAGTACAAACACACACACACACACAAGATACGCATAAATGTCGCCATGACAACATTTTCACGATGCACGTGGCACTGCTGGAATTTTGCTTGATACAGTATTGAGCGAAGCACAGTCGATAGGTGGTGTGACTTGTTAATGGAGCATCACAGAACTAGTCATATATTTACATACTGGAAGGCACACACACACACACACACACACACACACACACACACACATACACACACAATGCTGTTCCCATTTCTTATTTCTCCATGTCTCCTCCCCACTTTTCACTGTTCTACACTAAAGCCTTCTGTGTCTAGAATAACACCAATATTTCCACACTCACGCTTGTTGATACAGCAAGCCTAATTTTCATATTTGTTTTTGTTCTCTAGGCGTACTTTAATCACACCGCAGTCCTTCATGATTATTCTGATTTGCAACATTAGCATATTGTTCTTATTACCAACAATTAAATTGTAAAACATATTACAATGTTACGCCTAAGGTTCTTACCATCACTGACAATATTCAACGATGCATGTTTTCATTTGCATATCAACCCAAACGATCAATAGATCGATAGATCGATAGACAGACAGATAGATTTATTTGTCCTCAAAGAGGAAACTTGTTTCCACCGTGGGTGCATTGATAAACATAAACACAACACCAAATATATTAACCATCAAAAACAATCACAGACATAGAGGTGAGAAGGGGACAAAAAGAATAAATGAGGATCATACAACAAATACCAGAGTATAAGATGGCATCACAATGGCTTACTACCGAGGTGTTTAATGCTCATATAGCCATAGGAACAAACCTCCTACTATAGCTGGCCTTTCTGCACATGATTGGTCTATACCTGCCCCAGAAGGAAAGGAGTTGAAATATTGATCAAGTGGGTGGTCTGGATCATTTAAAATTTTATGTGCTTTCCGGAGCGTATATGAAATATCACGGTCCGATAAATTAGGGCTGGGAGTACCAATAATTTTCTCACTAAATTAGTTATCTTCAAGAGTTTGTTCTTATTGGTAACTGTTAGCAAATGAAAAAACAAATGGCACCATACATAAGAACCGGCTCAATAATACTTCGATACAGAAGAAGAAGCAGAAGAAGCAGATGCAACGATGTTTAAAGGCAATTTTGCAACATCCGATGATCATATCATATCATTTGATTGTATCATGTCAATCAAAAAAGGGCGGGGAAATAGAGGGTCTGATTTTCTTTTTGCCGCGCTACTCTCGCTGAATTAAAGCGCCGGTACACCATTTAAGATTTAAATGAACACGACGTGACAAAAAAGTATATATTGTACAGAAAAATATTTGTATTTGTAGAGTAGTCTATTTCATATCCAGTTAATGTTAATATATAATTTTAAAATTTTCATTATATATTAACAGTTTGATGTTCAATGATGAAGTAGAAATGCTTTTGTTTGTGGTGAGTGAATGTGAAGCCAAACAGGAGGTTTTTTAGAATTCAGTCAATTGACTGTTGCCTCACACCTCCTAGGTCCGGGGCTCGAGTCCCGCCGGGGTCATGTGTGTGCGGAGTTCGCATGTTCTCACAGTGCTGCGGGGGATTCCTCCGGGTACTCCGGTTTCCTCCCCCAGTCCAAAGACATGCATGATAGACTGATTGGCGTGTCTAAAGTATGCGTGTGTATGTGATTGTGCCCTGCGATGGACTGGCACACCGTCCAGGGTGTACCCCGCTTTGTGCCCGATGCTCCCTGGGATAGGCTCCAGGTTCCTCGTAACCCTGAAAAGAAGTAAGCGGTAGAAGATGGATGGATGGATGGATGGATGGATGGATGGAATATCCTAATCCTAAGTTCAGAAATCTTAGGTCAGATCAGAATTTGGTTCATGTTTTAATGTTAATTTGAGTCATGTGTTTTCTGTTTATGAGACCAGTTACTGTGGAACAACTTGCTGAAATGGAGAGAATAAAGTTTTTATTTGCATTTCCTTCAGAATTCTGGAATTAATTATTATTAATTTAAAAGAAGGTATAAAAGGCAGAACTATCCATATCGGTATCGACCGATTTCACTCTGAATAATCGGTTATCGGTATCGGCTGAGAAATTTGGTATCGGTGCACCTCTAATCCAAACTCTTCTTATCCAGATCACTTTAATATTAAGAGGGCAAAATGTGTTATTTGTGTTCATTTTTGTTAGTTAGAAAGAGTCCGTTATTACCAGATGTTTGTAGGTGTTTGGTGACGATGTTGTTTATTGGCTTATTGCTGAAGACGCACATGATAAATCAGGCCATATTGAACTTAAATTTATGTGCAACTGACTGATAAAGTATTTATCTGATAAAGTTACATTTGAAAAGATTTTGTCGATATTTGTAAAACATTACAGAAAAGTTCTGTGTCTATTGCGTACCTCAGCAGGTATTTTTAAAGAGCTAACCCCGTTTTTTTTTTTATTTAAAATCTTGAGAGCGAGATGTTTAGGTTGAATTGTGAGAAAACTCCTGACTCGTGATGTGTATTGAAGGTGTTAATAATTTCTAAACCAGCTAACATAATTGTGTGTGAGTTTAGGTTTTTATCACTAACTGGCCCTCCTAATAATGCAGAAAGAAGTATAAATATGAAGTATAAAGTATCCAAGTAACTAAAGGATTGTGTCCTTTGTAGCAGGATTACGTTACATTCATAGCGCTGACAGCCAGTTCCATCTCTCCTTCTCAATAACCATGAGCCACTTTTTGTGGTTGTTCTGAGAACAACAGTGAAAAACAACACCTTTTCATTCAATCACATTTTCATTTTCACCACAGCAGGGTACACTGCACTCTGTAGTCAAAATTAATTGTTTTGGGTTTTTTTACTCCATTTTTGCCCAATTTGGAAATTTGCCAATTTCCACCCACAAGCCAGCTCTCTACTATCACACAGTTACCAACCAGGGAAGGTGAAGGCTAGCAAGTAACATGTACAGCTCCCGCATCTTTTCAAACATCTGCTTTTTGACCAGCTGAACACTTGGAGAACAGCACTATCTGCCCTCTTCTGCATACACAAGCTCACAGACGTCCACGTTCGGTTATTGACGCTCTGATTGACATAATAAATCCAATTTTACTATAGTGAACTCCCAAGAGATGGCTTTGGTGTTGTCGGGATCACCAAAGTGGCGCTCTCCCAACGACAGGCCAAACGCCGTTCTGCTGCGCCACTTGAAAACCACAACTTAATTATCACTGTTAAAGAAAGGAGTTACCTTCTGTGGTGACTAGCTCGGCCAAGGTAAGGCAAGCCTAATAAAAGTAACTACTGCTAGCTAGTGATCTGGATTGGCTGTTCGCAGTGAAATGTAGACTTTGGCAAAATGTGGATTCTATGAGATCTACAATATGGTTCTACCAAACTCTACAGAATATATTTACAGCATTTGGAAAATGCCCTTATCCAGACAGACCTACATTTATCTCATTTATACAACTGAGCAGTTGAGGGCCTTGCTCATGGGCCAAGCAGCTTGGTGGCGCTCTGGGATTTGAACTCACAACCTTCTGATCAGAAATCCAATGTGTTAACCACTGATCTGCAACCACCACCAGATAGCTGCATCAATTAAAATCTAGTTCTATCTCCTTAATCCAGAATGTGATGAATTACTTACATCTGGTTCATCATGGGGGTACGGTGGCTCCGGTTTCCTCCCCCAGTCCAAAGAAATGCGTTGTAGGCTGATTGGCATTTCTAAATTGTCCGTAGTGTGTGAATGGGAGTGTGTGCACTGAGTTCCCTAGGTCAGGCTCCAGGCTCCTCCGTGACCCTGTGCGGGATAAGTGGTACGGAAAATGGATGGATGGTTCATCGTGGTACATTTGAATGTAAAGATGTGTCCAATAGCATTATTCCACCAGACAGTGCACCACGGCTTGGCAAACTATTTGTGATCCTTCATCAATCGTGTGTCATGTCTGAAATAAATAAAAAACCTATCACAAATAAAATGTATTATTTTAATACTTCACAGCCTCCAAAGAGCGCGTGCGACTTTCACGGGTAGTGTAATGTAATGCGAATCCTACTGTTCTGTGGAAAAGTTCTATATGTATGGGATAACCTCTGGTTTGTCATGGCTCTTTCTTTAAAACACACACACATACTGAAAAAAAACTCCAGGTCATACTGCATGCAGTGGAAATATTTGGTGTTAGTTATATCTGTAGCAAAAGTCAACTATTCACTTGGTTATATCATACATCTGTTTCAGTCTATCCTGGAAAAGTCGTCTGCAAGCATTTGATATACGCTCAAACTAAAAGTCGTTGAAGGTCATGGCGACGTTATGTGACTTGTGCAGCTTTATTGAAACAGCATCTTCCATCAGTCTCACACGAGACATATCAAGAAACTGCAGCTAGTGTAAAGATGTTACAAAGGGTATTGAAAATGTCAATGCTTAAGGTCAGAAAAGAGCTGAACGCTACATATCCATTTACGCATCCTTCCCCGTGGCTCTGTGATCCATTTTCCAGTCTGCTCAGCTGTGTCTTCAGTGTAATTTCATACTAACACAAACAAATATGCCGTGGATCCCACCATAGTTGATTTTCTGTACTAGTATATCGGTAATATCGAGCTTAACTACCAGTACGAGCTATTTTTAAGTGTAGCATTTATTCCTATATCCCCTTTTATTCAAACAGCAACAAATAACCACTTGGTAGCATGTACTGATATGTGAGAGGGAACGAGTAAATGTCCTCGTGTTTTGCCGCAATAGTTGAATTTGCTCTGTGAATTCAAAACTGCCAGCTTTTCAAGTACCCCCTAAAGCCAGTCTTTGATTAGTTCCACTTTCTACATAAGTTGGACTAAAGCCAATTACTTTTCATTGTTACTTGGTAATTAAGCTTTCCAGCGTTTACTAGCGTTTTGAGCAGAGCAATTAAATGAAGAAAGATAAAGAGATGCCCCTGCCACTTGAATATAATTAGAACTAAATGAAGAAATTTGCAGATAAATGCAGCATCGCTGATAAAAAATAAAATAAATAAATAAATAAATGAATGAATAAAAATGTGAAAGTCGGAGTGGTTACCAACGGCAGTGATCGAATTGCGCCGATATCATTTCATTTGGGGAGAAAACTGTCTTTTGATTTATGAATTCCACACTAAAGTACTCTGCGAATAGCTTTTAAGCTCTAGTGGAGGGGAGTTAATGTCCCTAATTCCTTTAACAGTAGCATGTAAATAAATGAGGCTCTTTCACAGCAGTCAAGAGTTTAGTTCGATTGGTTAGAAAGGACAGTGCTTTTACAGCAGACTAAAGGGCTCGTTATACGTCATCAGACCTGCTTCTGGGCAATATGACGATACAATATTACTATTATGATCAATTATAGCACAATACAATGGCTAGTAATCTCTTAATCGGGGTCGCAATGGATCTGGAGTCAATCCAGGGAAGAGCGAACACACACACACACACACACACACATTTGTAAGCAACAAACACATTTGTAATTCAATGTAGCCAATCGTAGCATGTTTTTAGAAGGTACTAGGAAACCAGAGAACCTGTAAACTCATGTGGATATGGGAGAACATGTGACACAGGCAGTAATGATACCTGCTACCTGTTAATGTTTTCTAGACCTTAAATAAAAGTATCAGGATTTTAAAACAGTAACACTACAGTTTTGCTGGCACTTTATTAGAAAACCTATATATCCTGATACGTATCATGTATTGTAGAAATGTCCCGGAAAGCCCTGAACTCTCGTATTCTTTTCAAGACAGTAAGAGGACTTTAGCTGTCAATCAAACAAGGAGGGCTGGGTAGTAAATATCAAGCTGTGATACATAAAACAGACCATTTAAAAAATTTTTTATAATAAAATAGTGATGATTCAACTGAGATGTAAATGTTGAGAAAGACTATACAGTATCACGTCATCTACTGAGTCTACTGAGTCACTTCTGAAAGCATGGTTTGATGCTTTTGAATGCATTGATCCATCACTTAAAAACTATTCACATGTCTCTACTGACCAATCACAGTGGGAATGGGAGGGCAGGTCAGATGCTTCGGGTTCAGTGTCACTTAAGAAACATGTTCTCCTCTCCTTCTTTCCCTCATTAGAGGATATTTTCATAACTATTGGTCTGCCAGTTTTAGCAATAGACTGCTTGTCCCATTCATTTTGTTCAGCATCAGCTGACAGACTCGATTGCTGTCTCAGAGTATAAGCTTTAGCTTCGCACATCAGTTGTCTCATACATGCTGCCTCATGATCGCCATCACATCAGATACACGAGTCTAATCACGCTTCACAAACACAAGGTAATCATGTATGAGATTGGGTCAAAGTTTACATGTCTGCATAAGCAAAATATCAAACGAGACGGTTCATGTCTGCAGGGAGTAAAATACCTTATCAACAGTCCACCATCTCACACTGTGCATGGCTCCTGTTTCTATGTCAATATCACAACCAGCCCTGTGCCAATAAATGAATCGAAAAAAAAAGTAATTACAGAACCTGAGGAGGCAAGACAATATCCAAATTCAGGAATGGAGTTTCCTAGTTACAAACATGTTAACTTCTTGGCCATTTGTAGTAGAAATCACACACAAATGGTGCCTCAGACAGACCTTAAATCTTTACATTTTTCAAACATCTTCAATGTAAATTATATGATCTCTTCAAAATTCCTTGCCTTTGTCAATGAACATTTCATCGAAGAATATACAATATGTATACTTTTTCTGAGCACTTAGTTGGGGTCAGTAAAAAATGAGCTACGTCCACCAATGTGACTTAGCGTCATTGAACTGAGATTAAAAGGATCGTTATTAGAATCCTGGTTTCCGTGACGACCAGATATCAAGTGATACATATCTACAGAAAGCTGAGGAACTTTAGTCTGCAGATTCTCTGGTGCAGATTGTCCTCTGCAGAAGTGTCAATGCAAATTACTTCTTCATCTCCATCCCAATGAAGGGCTGAAGGGCTTCTAAATGATACACTGAAGTATGTTATGTTGATACCCTAAGATCTAACAAACCAGAGGTTCCTGAGGTGATGAGACTAAACAGTTGCCAAAGAGATGAACAGGTCCACTTTGGCTTTCATGGACAACTGTGCCAGCTAAAAGAAAAGCAGTTTGGACACTTTCTATAATGCATCATGACAATAAAGTGGAGGGTAGGCAGAACAAGCCTGAAATTATCCAGCGTTAGAATGCCACCAAGAGTGCTCTTGACAACCAGGTACAATCTCAAATCCCAACTCTGCATGCCTCCATTTCTGCAGCAGTGCTGAGCATGGGAGTGAAGCTGACTGCTGCTGTTGCAGTACCACCGTACACAACAAATCCAACCACAACTAAAAGGTGTCCTCTGCGTCACTGCAATTTGCACAGAAAGCGAACAGTCTGCTGTATTCTCAACTTGGCCCAAGTTGCTTCCATTGACTGCCTTTGGGCATGAATTTGGATCTCCATTCTATAATTCAGGATACTGAATGTTTTCTTTTTTTAAGTTTTTTTTTTTCTTTGCACAGGGTTTAAAATTTTAGAAATGTAGCCACTTTCTCATTGTTGCTGCGACTTTTATTAATGCTTTGCGACAAGGAGCTATTTTGGCTATATTTAAATAAAATTTGCGATTTTTGGGGGGACAATTAAACACTCGCACAGGTTCTCCACACACTGCCGTGATCTTACGTTCATGCCATGAGTTATGCCATGAGCCAGCGCAGTGCTCTGACTCCCTCAAAACCTTCAAGTGTCCAGTTGGCCAAAGCATTCGTGACCTCTCCAGAAGAAATCGGGAAAATTGAGAGACGATGGGAGAACCTTCCCTATGTGCGTTGGCAAGATGTGGAAAATGCAGAGAAATTGTGGGCTGAAGTAAATTTGTACACAGACGCAGCAGGTGAAAATCCCTTTAAAGACCTACGTAACCTAGCTGTGACAATGTTCCTTGGAAAATAAACCATTGCCAAGTGCACAGAGAAATGATTTGTAAAAAAAACAACAAAAAAAAAAACCAATCACCAGAACATGGAACTGGCACTCAATAAATTTCTAGATAATTATATAACTTCCTAGTTTTAAACATTACGCGGCTCACGTCCACCATTTATCATCATCTATTGACCAAATATTCCTGTTCATTAAAAGAAACAGCCCAATGATGAGGCTTTGTAAAATATAAGACAGTAACATGAACTTCCTGAAGGGTTCCACTGCTCGTGTGAGTGTGAGCATGCTGGCAGTGAACATACAGCCTGAAAATATCCATTTCTGACCATTTTCTACGCTTGTTTCTATAGGTTTTGCCCAGCATATTACAGCAAAAGTGTGTTTGTGTGTGCAATTCAAGTGTGTGCACCCTTTTTTTTTATCTTCTTATTGCATGAGCAAGCTTCTGACAGATAATCAGTTATGAGAGAGCAAGAAAGAGTTAGAGAGAGAGAGAGAGGTGAGGGATAGGAAGAGAATGATTACTGCAGGATTTCTCCTGAGACATTGCCAGAGATGCTAATTCGACTTGCACTGTTGTGTCTTTGTTGTTGGTGTCTTTTTCATCTCT